GGAGCCCTGGAATCCTTCCTCAGCCCTAGCACAAAATGTATTGCAGAAAGAGGCAACACACTGAACAGACACCCTGGGGAGAAAGGAATTGCCCTTCCAATGTCAGGAAAGCAGAGTTCTGAGACGCCGTGCATGATTCTCACATATCTGGCATTCAGTGTCCTGGGCACCGACTTTTATGATTCCCCTGTGCAGTCTCTGTGGACTCTCAGGTTGGCCGGCATCCATGGACATTTCCCTCCGTTCCATGAGCAGTGGGAAGAGCAGAAAATAGACCCTGGAGAGTTTAAGCTTGAATGACTCCAGCGAGAGTGAGGAAACGATTCATCGATAACAGAGGCTCAGATTGTGAGGGCAAAGTGAATCTTGCAGGGTGTTTTGCCGAGCAATGGCTGAAGGCTGTTTTGACCAGGCTGTTAAGTGCTCCCTTCTGCACTATGGGGAGGAATGGAAACGCAAGATCAGGGGCCAAAAAAGATTTTCAATTGATCATTGCAGTAGCCATGCATTGGAAAAACCAGCCTATTAGCCTCTGAAAAGTCCCGGTGGAGGCCAAGCGACATGATCCTGAAGCGATGCAAGACCAAGGGCATGGAAAAGGTTTTCTTCTCCCAGCATTCTGGCATCAAAGGTTATTGCCAGCATGTGTGACTTCAAAAATCGATACATAACTCAGCTCCCAACTGTTCTTAGAGTCCATGTACACTTTGCCTCAGGGAAGAATCCATTTTCAAAACTGTGTTGAGCTCTCAGAACATAAGAACAGCCATACTGGGTCAGACCGACCTACCCCATTGCCCTGTCTTCCAACAGTGGCTAATGTCAGATGCCTCAAAGGGTGAGACAGGTGATCCCTCTCCTGTCACCCATTTCCAGTCCCTAACAAACAGAGACTAGCGACACCACTCCTATCCATTCTGGCTAATAAGTATCGATGGACCTAACCTCCATGAATTTATCCAGTTCTTTTTTGAATCCTGTTAAAGTCCTGGTCTTCACCACATCCTCTGGAAAGGAGTTCCACAGGCTGACTGTACGCTGCATGAAGAAAAAAACTTCCTTTTGTTATAGAAACTAAACTGTCCTCTGCTACACTGTTTTGGAGCTAGAATTTCTGCACTCATTGTGAGATAACTTTACAATTCCCAGAGCCAAAATGTCCTGGAGAGGTTGAGGGATTTGGGCTTGTTTAGTCTGCAGAAGAGAAGAGTGAGGGGGGATTTGACAGCAGCCTTCAACTCCCTGAAGGGAGGTTCCAAAGAGGAGGGAGAGAGGCTGTTCTCAGTAGTGATGGATGGCAGAACAAGGAGCAATGGTCTCAAGTTGCAGTGGGGGAGGTCTAGGTTGGACATTAGGAAAAACTATTTCCTTAGGAGGGTGGGGAAGCACTGGGATGGGTTCCCTAGTGAGGGGGTGGAATCTCCATCCCTAGCAGTTTTTAAGTCCCGGCTTCCTACCAGGCCTCTAGTACAAGGCATGGCAATTCAGGCCCCCTTTCTACTACATTGACTACATTTATTGCCTGGGGTCTTTACATGTTTCTCTATCAAGATGTGAAGAGCCTCGA